CAGAGAGCTGGATTGGGAATGGAGATGCTGGGACTCGAACTGCCACCCACATGGGATGCCAGCACTGCAGGCAGTGGCTTTACCTGCTATGCCACAGCACTAGCCCATGAAGTGACCATATTTTAACTCTTTAATTGTACCTAGATTTTATTCTGTATAGCTAGTGGAAAATTGTTCTTACATTTTACAATTCTATATTTTTTGAAGTAAACAAAATAAAACAATTTCAAATGGACAAAGTAAATCCTTGAAACAAGCACATTTTTCTGATGTAATGATCATGATGTCATTCCTTTTTTAAAAGATTTATTATTTATTTTTTAAAGATTTATTTATTTGAAAGGCAGAGTTACATAGAGAGAGTGAGTGACAGAGAGGTTTTGCTATCCACTGGTTCTCTCTCCAGATGGCTGCAATGGCTAGGGCTAGGCCAGACCCAAGCTAGGGGCCAGGAGCCTCCCCCAGGTTTCCCATGTGGGTGGCAGGGGCCCAAACATTTGGGCTATCCTTCCATTGCTTTTCTCGGGTTGTTATCAGGGAGCTGAGTCAGAAGTGAAACAGCTAAGATACAAACCTGCATCCATATGTGATGCCATCGTTACATGTGGCAGCTTTACCCACTATACCATAACGCTGGCCTCAACACTCATGGTTTATAAATCAGGACTGATTATTTAATTTAATTTTATTTATTTATTTATTTTGACAGGCAGAGTTAGACAGAGAGAGAGAGACAGAGAGAAAGGTACTCTCTCCGTTGGTCCACCCCCCAAATGGCCGCCATGGCCGGTGGGCTGAGCAGATCCAAAGCCAGGAGCCAGGTGCTTCCTCCTGGTCTCCCAGGCAGGTGCAGGGAGACCATCCTCCACTGCCTTCCCGGGCCACAGCAGAGAGCTGGACGGAAAGAGGAGCAACCGGGACAGAACCTGGTGCCCCAACCGGACTAGAACCCAGTGTGCCGATGCTGCAGGTGGAGGACTAGCCAAGCGAGCCATGGTGCCGTCTGATTATTTTATTTTTAAGAAGATATTTATTTGGGGGCTGATGCTGTGGTGTTGTAGGTTAGGCCTTACTTGTGGCAATGGCATCCCATATGGGCGCAGGTTCATGAGGACATACTCCTCTTCTGATCCAGTTCTCTGCCAATGAACTGGGATGTCAGTGGAGGATGACCCAAGTGCTTGAGCCCCTCTACTCATGTGGGAGACCTAGAAGAAACTCCTGGCTCCTGGCTTCAGATCAGCCCAGCTCTGACCGTTGCAGCCATTTGAGGAGTGATCCAGCAGATGGAAGACCTCTCATCTCTCTCTCTGGCTCTCCCCTGCTATATCTCTGCCTCTCAAGTAAAGAAATCTTTTCAAAAAAAGTTATTTATTTTACAATCTGTCTCATATGCTAGTAGCACAGATTTCCATTCAGTTTTAGATATGAGACTCTAAGGAACTGTTAAGTGATCAGTAACTAGGAAAAGTGGTGAAGGAAGAGTTGTGTGATTTCCTTTATTGTAAACAGAATTTCTTTGAGTTTGAAGACACCTTCTCTCCTTCTTATGATTTCCACCGTGTTAGTAGTGAGTCTTTTCTTGTCTTTTTTTAAAGCAAAATTATAATATGATTAAATTTTTGAAATCAACAGTGATGAATTTTAGTTTTCCTTATGTAAATATTATGGAAATTGAGTAATACTGTTTTTAAGAGTATAAAGTCTTTAAGATTAACAGGGAGGACAATTATTTGAAGATATAATATTGAGTATGAATTATATTGATTAAAATGGAGGAAAAATAATTTCACATATTAGCATAATTAGTTTATTTTTAAAATTTTTATTAATTTTCATTTTATTTCAAATGTACATTCAAAAGCTGGGGCTAGAGCAGGCTGAAGCTAGGAACTTGGTACTCACTCTGGGTCTCCCACATGAGTGGCAGTGATCTGACAGCTTCAGCTGCTTCTGGGGTACACATTTGCAGGAACTGGAATTAGGAGTAGAGCTGAGACTCCAATACCAAGTATGCATTCCAATATAGGATGAGCTAAATGGTGTCTTAACTGCTGCACCAAGCACACACTGAAGCACACCTATCTCTGTCAATGCCTCTCTCTTACACACATACACACACACACGTACACACAAAAAGATTTACTTAATTTTTAAGGCAGAGAGAGGGAGAGGGAAAGAGAGAGAGAGAAAAAGAGAGACAGGGAGAGAAAGAGAGAGAGAAAGAGAGAGACTTAGACTTCTACTCAGTGATTCACTACCTAAATCGTTACAATGGCCAGCTGGCCAGGACTGGGCCAGGCTGAAGCCAGGATCCAGGAACTACATCTGGACTTTGCACCTGGGAGACAGTGACCCAAGTACTAGGGCCAGCTTCCACTGGCTTCCCAGGTACAATACAAGGGAGCTGGATTGGACGTGAAGCTGCTAGGGCTCTGGATGGATCCATTGTGTCACTGCTACTTCACCCCCAGTTTTGTATCCTACTTTGTCCCTCCATAATATATTTCAAGAGGATATTTCTGTGTTGCCATTGTTGGCAGACACAGGGGGTCTATTTACTTGGGGAATTGGCAGACTCTCAGCCTCAAGTGGGAGATACTCAGAGGAAAGCTTTATTGACTGTAACAAGTGATGGAGCCAGTGGGATGGTGTTATTCTCTAAAGAGACTGCCTCTTTGAGAGCAGTTTGTAAGAGCATTCATTGCAAGGGTTAGGATGCCTATATCCGATATGAGAGTGCTGGTTCAAGTCCTGCCTACTCTGCTTCTTACCCAGCTTCCTGCTAATGCATCCTGTCAGGCAGCAGATGATGACCCAAGTGATGGGGCCCTTGCCACCCACTTGGGAGATCCAGATGTAATTCTGGGATCCTGGGTTCAACCTGACCCTGTCCTGGCTGTTATAGGCATCTGGGGATCAAATGAGTGAATGAAAGGGGTCTGTGTACCTTTACTTGTCAGTCTGCCTTTCATGTAGATGAAAATAAATAAAAGAAACATTTAAAAAAAGAGTTTTGTAGTGGGAAGAAGAGGAAACAACTGGGGCTTGCATGTTTAGAAGCATTCCAGATCTGAGAAGTGGCAGTTCAAGAGGGTAAAACTAAGCCAGTCTCTTAAAATAATTTTGTTCTTCCCTAAGAATTAAGTTTTAGGATTAAAAAAAAAAAAAAAACACTGCTACTGATACATACTTAGTAAGATCTAAGTTCTCTTTACACAATTGGAGTGTTTATATGATTCATTATCTAAATTGGAGCCATTTTTAAAATAAAAGAGGAAAGGACAAATGGCATGCTAAATGAGATGCCAGGATTCTTACTGTATATTTATTCTCCTGTTCTGATGCTTATACTGTGTTGAAAACCATTCTGAGTGGCATCTCAATCTTACAGCCACTTGTAACTCAACAGCTTATCTCTTTTTCTTTTTTATCTGTTTTCCCCTCAGATAGTCACATCATAACAGGAGCACAGCCACTCAGAGATAGCCCTAACCAATACTTTTATCTCCCTCTTTGTCTGGATAGAGCATTGATGTCTTTCCTATCATCTAAGCATTTTGCTTTCCCTGGGTTGATAGAAACAGTGGAAATAGAAAATGACATATAACTTGTACTGGTGATTATTATTATTTTAGGAAGAGCTGAAAATGCATTAGAGGATAAAAACAAATATTATATTTTTAAAAACCTAAAAGTCTATCACCAATCTCAAATTTTCAAATCTTGTGACAGTCTCATTGCTTTCACAGTTAATAATGGGAGGAACTGGTTTCAGCCTTTGTAGAGAAGGAATGAAAGATGACTAATTCACAAATGCATGATTATCTTTCCTTTAAATATATGCTGACTGTTGAAGGATTCTTAAGCTAATGGACATATAATTATGGCCACCATGATTTACTACTATGTTACAGGTGAATTTCCTCAATCTGTTTGAATATTTCTATTCGAATACCAATTTTCTGAAAATACAAATCGCATTTAACTTAGTATTTTCTTTTTTAGGCATTCTCCCAGCACCATGCCCTAATTTAAAGGAGGAAAAAATGAGATTTTTGTAAACTTTTCCTATTGAGAAGAAGAGGAAATTGGAATGCAACAGCTGTAGTCCAAGCTCAGCCCATTAGTGTTGCAAGTGGAAGAAAACACTGTAGTATGCTATTCTTTGTCTTTTCAGTTTAAGCAGCAAACTATCGGAAAAGATGGAGTCACTAAAATTCCATGCATTTAATTGAGCCAGGAATAGCATTTTTATCTCCACAAGAGGATGGGCTACATTTATCTTAATCAACAAATGGTCTAGTTTCTGAAAAACAAGAAGTTTTTTAGTAATTTTTAAAATTAATTGATGAGCCCCAGTAATCTGGTAACCAAGAAACAACATGAGGATTGACGGGTGATGATGAAGAGGCACCTGGAATTGTGAAACACTTCAGAGATTATTCTAGGCCCTCTCTGGAAAGGAGGCTTTGAAGGGATTTCACATGTAAAAGTGCCTTTTTTTTTTTTTTTTTTCCCCAGAGTGGAGAGTTGCTACTGCTTCATCTAGTCCATTTTTATCACTGTAGCAGTTGGTTCCAGCTGCCATAAGAAAGCACAAGTGGTTGGGTGGCTTAAGCAAGAGAAATTTATTTTCTTACAGTTCTCAGGACTGAATTTCAAAGTTAAAATTCCAGCAAATTGAGTCTCTGGTGAGAGAGAGAGAGAGGAAGGAAGGGAGGGAGGGAGAGAAAGAGAGAGAGGGAGGGAGGGAGGGAAGGAGGGCTGGAGGAGGAGGTAGGGGGAGGGAGAGGGAGAGAAAGAAAGTTGCTTTTTTTCTTGCTGTGTTCTCACACTGTCTTTTCCTGGGATGTGTGCACAAGAAAAGAGAAAGATAAGAAGGAAGGTGGGGGGGGAGGGGAGAGAGACACACATACACACAGATTGGAAGGGGGGGTGGGGAGGCAGAAAGGAGAGGAATCTTCCTTGATAAGGCCGCCAATTATATCAGACTAAGACCCTACCCAAATGACCTCTTTCAACATACCTCCTAAGTCTATCTTCTAATACAGTCACATTGAGGATTGTATTTGCAGGAGAAGCATTTTAGTCTAATGCAGTAACTTTCTTTCCCAGTTCTTCTAGCTAAGAATCATCAAGCTTCTACTAAGAGCCACGTCATCCATCTACCAAACCCATTTATCCCTTACAAAGCAACCAACCTGAGATAGTTTTAGAAATATTTTTCTGACATACAGATCCAAATACATATTTCATTTTTAAAAATAATTCAGTGATTGCTGTTCAACATTTTCTATACTTTCATATGAAATATCTTACTATTTCCACCCTTTTCTCAAAGCTTCTATTTCCTGAGCAGGTAGTTTTGACAGGGTATGTGTATTTACAAATGGATGTAGTTTTCATTAAAGACTGGAAATAGACTGGAAAAATCACTTACGTTTTCCGAATTTCAATTCCCATTTTTATGAAATGGATAAAATATATTTTTGAAATGCTGGTAAGAATAACATGGTATAGTCTTTCTGTAAGTAATTTTGCAGTTTACACAATTCTGATATATTCACTTTCTTTGACTCAAGAATTTCACTTCCAAGAATCTTTGTCACTTGACAAAATTCTTTACAGTAACAATTTTTATCAACATTATGGAACAATTCAAATGTTTATCAACCAAGGACTTATTTAATTGACTCTGCTACATAACAAAGTACTATGGAGAAAATAGGACTATTACTGTTTAACACAATGACGTGAGCTCTAGCATATATTAACTTTAAAGAGAAACTTGGAAAAAAGTATATATAGTCAAAAGTCTTTTTGTCAAAATAAACTTAGCTTTTAATTCCATTTTTCCGTGAACATCTGAAAGCACCCTCATACATACAACTCTCTAAGAACAGCAATAGTAACACCTGAATAATATGACTGCTAACACAGATTTATCTACTTCACCAATCCTGTGTCTTGTTTGAATAACCCACAAGAATGACATGTGATTGGGAAGTGAACTCTATGTTTACACAAAGACTTTTGAAATTATAGGTTTTATTGCATGATATACCTTTGCATGAACTTTTTGAAGACCTCTGATATAATTCACTGTGTGTGTATGTATTATGAACTGTGAACTCCTGATATGTCTTGTCAGTCTGTGTTTACTAATATTTTGTTCAATGGGAGAAAAAGAAAAATTGACTTGGATTACCCTTAGCCACCAAGTTGTGATATTTATATAAAATTTTTCAATAGTTTCACTTCTGAGTTAGTATTCCAAAAATGTTAGCAATAATCCTGGAACATCTCATTATACCAGATAACAAGAGAGTTTTCAAAGACCCTAGAGTCATGTCAGAATTATTCAAAGACATATTTGAAGAAAATATCCCAGGTCAAAGAAGCAAAAAATGAAGGCATTAATAAGAATAATTGCAATCATTTAGAATTCATCAAAGCTTATTGAATACATCAGTTCACAATGATACACAAATGGATGCTAGGTAATAAGTTCAGTATATTAAAAACTAGAAGATAAAGATAAAACATTTATCTTGCTTTTCTTGTAAACTCTTTTGTTTAACCATGTAACTTATATGAGGAAATTATTCCAGCTTATAATGCAAGAAGCAGCAATAGTAGTGGAATCTTACTTTTACCTACTTCTCATGAACTAGTGGATTTTGGCAATGAATCAATGGCTATTAGACTTAAAAAGGAGAGAAGGAAGGGTATTGTTGTGTACTGGCTTAGGCTGGCTTTTGAGACAACTGCATCTCCTATCTGAATGCCTGGTTGGAGTCCTGGCTTCTCTGCTTACAATCCAGCTTGCTGCTAATGCACATCCTGGGAGGCAGACCCCGACGGAATTCTGGGCTCCTGGCTTTGGCCTGACCCAGCTGTATGTTACAAGCAATTAGGAGTGAAACAGAGGATTGAAGATTTCTTATTCTATATCTCCATCTGTCTCTGTCACTCTGCTTGTCAAATAAATAAACTGAAAGAGGGAGGAAAGAACCAGAGTTTAAGTATATTTAAGGGAAAAAACCCATTCTATTGTCTTGATCACTTATTCAACACAATACTTTTGACACCAGAGGGGAATTATCACCTGTACCTTGAACTTACCTCCTATGAATTAAAGCTCCTTTCTTGGATTTGATTAATTTGCAAAAGAGGGTCACAGAAGTCAGAGAAATACTTCACTTCCGTTCATCAGTGTACTAATAAAGGATGTAGTAAATGATAGAGATGAACAGCCCAATGGAGGAGATGCACAGGCGAGGTGTGGGAGAAGATGGGGTGAAGCCTTGCATGCTGTCTTCAAGTGAATCACTCTTGGAAAATCTCCGCATGCTCAGCTCTTCAGAACCTCTCTGAGCGCCATAATTCAGGAACTTCTGTGCCTTCTTTGTAGCATGGTTGATCATTGATTCTACTTCTAGCTTGACTCTGCTTTCTGGAAAATGGAGAGTATCTTTGTAAGCTCCAAGCTTATAATCACAGTTTAGTCTTCCTGGTGCCCAGCCCCCATCCAGGAGTCCACCAAGAGTCATTTTGTTTGAACAGAAATCCTCCTGTTAGCCAGGATTGCATAAGGAACTTAGGGGTCCTATGTCAAGAACCAGGGTCAAAGACCATAAATGAGAGTAAGAGATTGTCCTAGCACCCCGGTGGCTAGAATAAATTATAAGGTTTTGGGGAGCTCTGTGTTGGAAACTAGGGGCAGAGGCCAACAGATAAATATTTCTTACTGTTTCACAATGTGTATCCTCAGGATACTATACAGTAACTTTATTTTTTTTAAAGATTTATTTATTTACTAAAAAGGCAGAGTTACAGAGAGACAGTGGCAGAGATAGAGAAAGGTGTCCATCAACTGGTTCACTCCCCAGATGGCCACAATGGCCAGATCTGGATCGATTCGAAGCCAGGAGCCAGTGGCTTCTTCTGGGTGCAGGGGTCCAAGAACTTAGGTTATCTTCTACTGCTTTCCCAGGCCATATCAGAGAGATGGATTGGAAGTGGAGCAGCTGGGACTTGAAACAACGCCCACATGAGATGCTGGCACTGTGGACTGGGGCTTTAGCTCTGTACCGCAGCACCGGCCCTGAGTAACACTTTAGATGTAGACAGTTTGATTGTCTTTGGGTCTAACTATTAACATAGAGAAAACACAGAGAAACATAACGGTAGATATTCTCAGAAAGCTCCAGACAGTGGGAAACTTTATGGGGCAAATTACTTAACTCATTAAAAATAAATTACAGGGGCTGGCATTATGGCAAAGCTGGTTAAGTAGCTGCCTGTATTGGCAACATCCTATATGGGCATTGACATGAGTCCTGGCTGCTTTATATCCAGCTCCCTGCCAATGCGTATAGGAAAGCAGTGGAAGATGACTCAAGTACTTGTTTCCTGTCCTCCCTTGTTCTCCCTTGTGGGAGACCTCATTAAACTCCTGGCTCCTGGCTCTAGCCTGGCCCAACCTTGGCTGTTGCAGCCATTTGGGGAGTGTAACAGCATATGGAAAATTTCCCCTCTCTTTTCTTTTCTATTAAATCTGCCTTTTTAAAGTTTTATTTGTTTATCTGGAATTCAGAGTTACAAAGATAAAGACAGGCAGAGTTACAAAGATAAAGAGAGGCAGAGAGAGAGAGAGAGAGAGGTCTTCCATCTGCTGGTTCACACCCCAACTGAACACAATGGCCAGAGCTGCGCTGATCCGAAGCCAGAAGTCAGGAGCTTCTTCCAGGTCTGCCTTGTGGATGCAAGGGCCCAAGGACTTGGGCCATCCTCCACTGCTTTCCCAGGCCATAGCAGAGAGCTGGGTTGGAAGTGAAGCAGCCAGGTGCGGATATGGGATGCCAGCATTGCGGGCGGTGGCTTTACATGCTATGCCACATTGCCAGCCCCAACTCTGCCTTTCAAATAAGTAAATCTTAAAAGGTTAAAAAAATTACAAGTAAACGTAAAGACAGGAGGTCATGTAAACTATATGTAAGAGGAAAAATAAATCAGTCACAATTTATGGACCACATTTGGGTCCTGATACAAACACACTGAAAAAATAAGAGAAAATTTTGAAAAAAAATTATTTATTTGAAAGGCAGAATTACAGAGAGGGAAAATCAGAGGCAAAGAGAGAGAAGCCTCCCATCTCCTGGTTCATTCCTCAAATGGCCACAACAGTCAGGACTGGGTCAGACCAGAGCTAGGAGCCAGGAACTTAATCTGAGTCTCCCACGTTGGTACAAGGGCCCAAGCACTTGGACCATCATTTGCTGCTTGCCAAGTGCATTAGCAGAGGACTGGATAGGAAGTTGAGCAGCTGGGAATCAAATGGGCACCCTTATGGGATGGGAAATTTTGTATTTGTTTCAAAGGAAACCAGGGAGTAAAGAGAGTGTTTGGTTTGAACTGATGATTGATGAAACCAGATAGAACAACTTTTTAATTCATTTCTGAAAATTTTTGAAGATTTACAGATGTTGAGAGGCTGGCATTACATAACCGATAGAATTATGCATAATATCCCTTTAAGTATTATGCTTATGTCATGCAAAGAATGAACTGTTTACACTGGAATTTTGCTAGTTGAGAAAAAAGTTGAACAGTCACTTTAGGTAATTTCCAAAAACCCTTCAATAAGATAATGATAACGTAAGTAAATGACTAAAGTCATCCCTCTCTACTTCATGGCATGCATACACTTAAGTTTTAAAAAGTTGTTTGGCTGTGTTCCTTTTTTTAATATGTCTTCTGTTTCAGAAGCTAAGTCATTGTTTTCTCGAGAATACCATGTATAATATTTATGCAGAATTTGAAGTTTATATCACCTGTGGTTTATACTAAAATAGCAATAAATGAGAAAAATAGTTATATTCACCCCAAATGCTTCAGAGACATTAACCAAAGACATTGAATTTTTAAGTGTTTTCTTCCTCTAGGCAGTGAACTTGTAGGCAGCACAAAGTAAGATGAATGACAGATCTACAGAAGATAGCTGAGATGAGAATTGCATAATTGCACTTCACACAGATAAAATTTTTCTGAATTGCCATTACCTCCTGCAATTGATAGCTACTATTTCGGAGATTATCCTCCAGTTTTCTCTACCAATGGCTATGGCCGAATTCAGAGAAATATCTGGCTGAAAGTTGAAAAGATATTAAAATAAGAATGTTTGCTTTTATTTGTAATTCTATGTAAGAGCAATAAATTATACAGCATATTATGTCTTCCAGTATTTTCAACTATTTGATACACATACAAAATCAGTTTTGATGGATTTGTTTTAATTATACAAGTTTCTCTTAGGGCATACAATTAACACAGGGACTTGCAGTCATGACCCTCAAAATAGGATTCTGGATGCCACTGATTAAATGCCAGGGATATTGAGCTGGTTGCAACTTCCATGAGCTGTCCTTTCCTTTAAGAGAGTGCTGAAGTCTTGACCGCATACTGCGTAATGGAGTCACAGAACTATAGGCAAAAAAGCAAGAATGGGAGTAAAAGCTGGCTAATTCAGTCCAAGCAAACTCCTGGATGAACTGCAAATGAAAGGGAAAGTAATGTTTGGCTATGAACACTTATGTCCAAAGTTTTGGACATTATATATATTCTCAAAATTTTTGTTCTCTTTGACTTGATAAATGCAGCTCAAATGCAAAAATCACTTGTATTTCTGTGGAATTTATTTATGTTTAAAGATTTATTTTATTTATTCAAGAGAGAGAGAGAAAGATCTTCCATCTGCTGCTTCACTCCCCAAATGGCTGCAATAGCTGCAACTGAGCCCATCCAAAGCCAGGAGCCAGGAGCTTCCTCTGGGTCTCCCTCATGGGTTCAGGGCCCAAGGACTTGAGCTGTCCTCTGCTGCTTTCCCAGGAGCATTAACAGGGAGCTGGGTCAGAAGTGGAGCATCCAGGACTTGAACTGGTGCCCATAAAGGATGCCAGTGCTGCAGGCCTGGGCTTTAACCTATTGTGCCATAGAACTGGCCCCTGTGACATATAGGTATTTCCAAATTTATTCCTTATTTTTCCTTGAAACACTATGGATGTTATTTTCCCATTTTAGAGATGAGGAACCTGAAGCTCAGATATGGTAACTGGCTTGGCCAATAATGGAACTTAATAACCAATAAATACATAATTAAATCATGTGATATAGTAAAAGAAAAACAGATGATGGAATTTCCAAATAAGTGAATTTTTCTTTAGCAGAAACTAAAGATTGATAATCAGCTGTCCTTGAGGTCAGACTGTGCTGTACAAATATTCTTAGGGGGAATCCAATATAATCACAGGTCCTTAAACTTCAGTGAGGGAGGTGTGACAGTGAGTGACTGAGTGATGTAGCATAGAAAAGGCTGGACCATCCATTGCTGGCTTTCAAGATGAAAGTGAGGTAAGCCAAGGAATGTAGGCAGCCTCTAGAAGGTTTGGAAATGGATTCTCCCATGGAGTTTCCAGAAAGAATAAAGCCCTACAAAAATCTTCTGTTTTTATACATCTGAGTGAGATGTATTTCAGACTTTTGACTTCCAGAACTGAAATATAAAACACTTGTATTAGTTTTAAGCCAACAAACTTTTGGTGACTTAAGTCATTAAGCCTTTGGCAATCAGTTATAGCATGGAAAAGCTGGTTAATTACATAATATTAAGAGATAGGACAGGGCCGGCACCGTGGCTCAATAGGCTAATCCTCCGCCTGCAGCCAGCACCCCAGGTTCTAGTCCTGATCAGGGCACCAGATTCTGTCCTGGTTGCCCCTCTTCCAGGCCAGCTCTCTGCTGTGGCCAGGGAGTGCAGTGGAGGATGGCCCAAGTCCTTGGGTCCTGCGCCAGCATGGGAGACCAGGAGAAATACCTGGCTCCTGGTTACGGATCGGCCGCAGCATGCCAGCTGCAGTGGCCATTGGGGGGTGAACCAACGGCAAAAGGAAGACCTGTCTCCTGGCTTTTGTTTCTCCCAGTTTCACTCTCCCTGTCCACTCAGGGAGTGAACCAGCAGATGGATGATCTCTCTAACTGAGAGAGAGAGAGAGAGAGAGAGGACAGATGCCTCATGGTAGAAGATTAGTTTTCAAATGGCCCAGCAATTCTAGTGACGAGGGACCTGACCAGTTCCACAGAGAGTGCCTGACACTGGCTCTGACCCCTCTTTTAAAACATTTTTATGCTCAATTGACAAGTAATGATTGCATGTACTCTTATGCGAGAAATGCAACAAGTCATATATTTTAACTGATAGTTGAAGCCATAACCAAGAGCTGGAGATTATCTGTCTACTAGGAATTTCTCTAGTTCTCTGTTTTTTTCCTACTCAATGGAAGTTGACACATATCACTCAAATAAATTTTCAATAGAGATTCTGTCCATTTTTTTAGGTATACATTCTCCTGAAAAAAGTCAGTATTTTATCAAAACATCTTTTTCATAAATATGCCA